TAGTAGTAGTACTACTACTACTACTACTACTACTACTACTACTACTACTACTACTACTACTAGATACTATGAGCAATCGTAGTTGCAGTAGAAGCAGCACTTCTAGCAGTCGAAGTCGAATAGGAAACCGACTGGAACCTCACAGAAAACCTTTCTGTTGAAGTAATCAGGCTCCGAACGTAAATGAGCAGGAGCCTTCTCAACGGTATCAAATAGGAAGCATTCCCATTGGAACCCAATAACAAACCGATGGGTGCTAATCGGAACTCCATTGGAACCCACTTGGGAATCCGGTTGTAATCCACTAATTGGCGGCCTCCCTACTGGAATCACATCGGAATCGTATCCGAATCCATGTGGAGCCCGATTGGATCCCAAGCATTTCCGATTGGCATCCAGTAGGAATGCTCATGGAACCCAATCAGGGCCTTCACGACCTCCCCACCCAGGCTCCCTCACTAAGGATCCCCTCGGATCCCAAAACATGCCGTAGGCTTCCTAAACAAGCCTTAGGCATCCAAAGGATTCCTGAGGGTTCCTGGGGGTCCCTCAGGATTCCGGAGGATATCTCAGGTTTCCTCAGGATTCCCGAGGAGATTTCCCGGGATCCCTGAAGATCTTTTTCGGGATTCCTGAAGACAGGATTCCTGGGGATCTCTCTGGATTCCCCCGGATTCCTGCGGTCAGGATTCCTGAGGGTCTTTCGGGATTCCCACGAATTCTTGAAGTCAGGGTTCTTGTGGATAGTTCAGGATTCCTCGGGATTCTTGAGGATCTCTCAGGATTCCTCAGGATCCCTGAGGATCTCTCTGAGGGCTTCTCAGGAACCCACCGAATTCTGGAAGATTCCTGCGGGTCTCTCAGGATTCCCTTCAATTCCTAAGGATTTCTGAGGGTCTCCCAGGATTCCCCAGACTTCCTGAAGATTCCTGAAGGTCTCTCAGGTTCCCCCCGAATTCCTGAGAGTCTCTCAGGATTCCCTTGAATTCCAGAGGATTCCTGAGGGTATGAAAATCTCGCAAGATCTCTCAAGATCTCGTAAGATCTCTGAAGATCTTCTAAGATCTCTGAAGATCTCGTAAGATTTCTGAAAATACAGTCGGACTTTTGAAGATCCCGTAAGATTTCGGAGGATCTCGTAGGATCCCTGAAGATCTCGTCAGATCTCTCAAGATCTCGTAAGATCTCTGAAAACCCCGTAAGATCGCTGAAGATCTCGTAAGATCTTTGAAGATCTCTTGAGATATTTTAAGATCTCGTAAGATGTCTGAAGTGGTTGGGGTTGGGACTACTTCTGATTGCAATCCACTCCGAACGGTTGGAATTAGGAGAAGTCGGTTGGGATCCGTCCCATTTCCGGGTGGGACCACACTCAAAGCCAGGCCTCCGGATCTTCGGTCCCCAGGGGCCCATCCTTGGGACTTCGGGCCTCTACGATGCCTCTGCTGGGCCTGGCCAGCGGGCCAAAGAGGCCAGGAGGGTGGCCAAACGGCCTCGCGAGATTCACAAGCGGCTCTGGACACCCGCCAGACGCCCGCAGACGGCCCAACTAACATCCCCAAGAGGTCACCCAAATGCAAAAAACAGTGATGTCCATGTAATTAGTTGTTGCATGCGTTGTGGATGCTCGGTTCTTCGGTCTTCCCGGCGTCCGACAACGCCCAAGAGGCCCCGAAAATGGTCCCACAACGCCCCAAAGGGTATGCAGGCAGTCCAAGAGTGCCCCAAGACGGCCTAACAGGGCCCCGAAATGGTCCGAACAGAGTCCCATGAGGGCCCAAGATAGTCGCAAGACGCCCCCCGAAGCACTCCAAATCGTGACGCGGCCGTTGAGAGAGACCGTGGTTCGCAGCAAGGTGGCCCGATGAAGCCACCAAAAGGCGCCCAGGCGGCTTCCAGAAGCCCCGAAGAAGCCCCTAAATGGGTTTCTTGAGGGCCCCAGAAGGCTTCCAAGGATGAGGCCTCCGCCAAAATAATTGAAGAGGACGGGGAAGGTTTCGCGGGGTAAGGCAAGAGCGAGGAAGAATAGTTATCAGGGAAAGAGGGTGAACAACACACCATAACGACGACGACGAAAACGGCAACAAGGATTTATCGCTGTTTTACATGACTACCTCTCTGTCAGTCCGTCCGCTGGCCGAAATTAGCGCGAATGCAGTTTTGTGTCCTTTTGAAGATGCAGGCTGGGGAGATTTACCTTCTAGAGGCACATATTAGGCTCACGCCTCTAGATGCAGGCGTTCTCCCTTTCTAGAGTCGCGTGCGCCCCCGTTTAGAGGCCCTTCTAGAACCCCCCCTAGAGGCCCCTCTAGAGACACCTCTAGAGACGCTCCTAGAGCACCTGAGAGCCTCCAAGCATGTGTTCCACATCCGCAGGCCCTCCGGAGCTTCCAAAGGACTCCTCGACTGTCCGTCCTTCTAGATCCTCTATACGTATCTTCGAGCCCAGCTGCGCCCCTTATAGAAAACGCGACATCGGCTGGGACAGTTTCGGCCGCTGGTGCTGCAGACTCTTCCAACTGCTGCGGCTTCGCATGAAGGGCCGGCCACAGCTGATGCGTCTGATTGTCAATCTTACCACCGTTTGCCAGCACTGTAAGCTGCCCATGGCATGCTGAGAGAAACCTCTTGAACCCCCCCGGGTGTGGGCAGCTGTGCTGGTTGTGCCTTAGCAGCTGCAGTTGCCTCAGCACGTCCCTTCTCGAGCCTTCTGATGAGACGACGCTCCTCCTCAGAGTGCCCCCCGGAGCCCCTCGATCTCCCGCGCACGAGCCGTGGCGTTCTCAAGCTGATGCTTTTTCTTGGCCGCCGCCTGCTCGGCTCGCCACACAAGGGGTGCTGGTCGGGAGGGCCTCGTGTCGCGCTTCGATGTGTGACTCCGTCCGAGACTGCCTCTGGGGCGGATCCGCCTGCCTCTCCCGTCAGGTGGATCCGAAACCCTGCCGCTGGCACCCCGAATGAGCTGGTTGAGACAATCCGCCATTCCCAAACGCCCGCTTCTCTCCGACTGGCCCGTCGTCATGCTTCTCAGCTCCTTTGCCCTAGGTGGGCTTGTGGTGCCAAAGTCCTCCCCCCTCACCGTGTTTTTTTTATCGCCACCCACTTGTTTGAAGGTGGTCCCGCTCGAGTAGCACCACTTGTAGTGCCCAGGATTCCGACAGCAGTTGCAGGAAGAACAAGTGGTGTTCCACGTGGCCAATAACCATCCTTGCCCGACATAGGCAAGCACTGGGCACAGTGAGATGAGAGGAAGGAAGGAGATGCGCGGAACACGGACTGGTGTGTGTGTGTACGCGAACAACAGTTGGCACGCAACTTCCCCTCGCCACAAAGTCAAGTTCTCGTGCCGATAGCTACGGACTTGAGCCAAAATGTCTACGGACTCGTGTCTCGACGCAGCGCAATCCAGTCCAACTTTCCTCCTCCTCCTCCTCCTCCTCATCGTTCTCCGACCCCCCTTCCTTCTCCTCCGCCTCGTCCCCCTGAGAAAAGGAGGAGGATGAGGAGGAGGAGGAGGAGGACGAGGAGGAGGAGGAGGAGGAGCAGAAACAGGAGCAAGAGCAGGAGCAAGAGCAGGAGCAGGAGCAGGAGGAGAGGAGGACCAGGAAGATTATGAGGAGGAGGAGGAGGAGGAGGAGGAGGAGGAGGAGGAGGAGGTGGGAGGAGAAGGAGGAGGAGGAGGAGGAAAAGGAGGGAGAGAAGGAGGAGGGAGGGGGGAGGAGGAGAAGGAGGAGAAGGAGGAGGAGGAGGAGGATAACGCCACATGTGCTCACATCAGGCCTGGTCAGTGCATAAAAAGGAGGAGGAGGGGGAGGAGGAGGAGGAGGTGACCCGAGATCGAACAAGAGAGGCAGTTTCCAGAATGCTCGATCCTCCGATCGCGGGGGCAAAACTTGGCCCCCGACGGTTTCGGAATAGAGAGGCACCCTCCCTCCACCAGCGAGAGGAGCTCGAGAGCTTCCTCCTCAAGGACCGCACCTGCTGCGCCAGCGCTCTGGAGGAGTCCATCGTGGACACGCTCTCAGGGGGGCGGGCAGCAGGGAGGGGAGGCCTCTAGAACTCGGGCGTCCCGAGGAGGCGGGTGCACATCTGGAGAGCGCTTCTTACTTCCTTGCGATAACGGGCGTGATTGAGTTGGGGGGGAGCGGGGAGTGGGTAACGTCATGTCACGTTTCGTGCCGGCGCCGTTTGGGATTGTCTCGGCATAGCAGAAAGACAGCTCGGCCGTCAGCACGACTCGTGACGCTGCTTGGGGGAGGGGCCCGTAACCGGCCGCCCTCGCGAGCAAGGCAGGACGCTCTCCTGTGGCCCCCCGCGCGGGCGCGCAGGTGGTCGCGCCTCCCGCGGTGTCAAGGCATGGGCAGAAGGGGTGCCCCTCTCCAGGTGGCAGCGCGAGGGTGCGAACGGTCGAAGGTGTTCGGTGGCCCGGCTGCACGCAGAGGCCCCTCTCTGCCGCGGCAGACGCCCGCGCCTGCACGTGCCATTCGCTGCATCGGCACCTTTACTTCCGCACAGTGAGCCCGGCACGTGGGGCAGGAGGTTTGGGATCGAGCTTCTGACGCCACGGTTCGGCCCAGCCAAGCGGAGTGCTGCTCTCTGGGGACTAAGGAGTGAATTTCTTTTGGGCATCGACACCTTGAGCAAGAGGAGGCGTCTTCGGTCCACTCTTGCGAGACTCATCGGTCGAGCCTCTGACTTCTTGTAGGATGTTCTCTGATCCTTACGTTGGATAGTACAGCCCGAAAAAATAGGGACGAGCATTGCACTCATTATATGAGAGTCTGTGGCAAACCCCGCTTCCGTGGAAGCCGAGGCCGCGTCGAAGCACCTGGTGGTGAACCCGGACCTCTCCGCGAGGTCACCGCCACGTCCCGCCGTGTTGACGCCCGCCAGGGCCTGGCCTACCGCCAGGTCTCGCCTGGAACAGCCGCGGGAGGTGCGCTTCAGGATGGTGATGGTGGTGGTGGTGGCGCTGCTGCTGGGGATGATTGTGATGATGATGACGATGCGTGTAATGGTTATGATTGCAAGATTATGGTAGGGAAGAAGAGATGAGGAGGATGAGGATCACGAGGTGGAAGACGAGGAGGAGGAGGAGGAAGAAGAGGAGGAGGCTGACAATGATGACGAGTCTGAAGATGATGTCGTTCATGATGATGATGGTGATGATAATGATGATGACATGCTGTTGTTGATGATGATGATTAAGACGACGATGATGATGATGATGATGATGATGATGATGATGATGGTGATGTCGACGACGATGATGATGATGATGGTGGTGGTGATGATGATGATGATGTCGATGATTATGATGATGAGGATGATGATGAGGATGAGGATGATGATGATGATGATGATGATGATGATGATGATGATCATGATGATGATGATTATGATGATGATGATGATGATGATGATGATGATGATGATCATGATGATGACGATGATGATGATGATGATGATGATGAGGATGATGATGAGGATGAGGATGAGGATGAGGATGAGGATGCTGATGCTGATGCTGATGATGAGGAGGAGGAGTAGGAGAAGGAGGAGGACGAGGAGGAAGAGGGACAACGAGGAGCTTGGGCAGCACACGCTGTACTCCCGAGGCGCTGCGGCAGTGGGAGGCAGGCGGCGGCCCAGCCCTACGCGCCCCCGCCGGGGGCGCCAGCGGAGTCTGCGTGGTGTCGTTCGGGGAGATCGCCGACCACGACGGAGGGGCGGGCCCGGAGCCGATCCTCGTCGTCCTCGTCCTCGTCCTCGTCGTCCCTAACGGTGGGGGCGGGCATCAAGAAACCATCTGCTTTCGTCAAGGTGCCCTGGGTTTCTTTGCTCCGCGCGCTGCGCGGTGACTTCCCGCAACCGTTGAAGAAGCTGCTGCCTTCAGGCTGCTCAGGTTTTCACCTCGCGCGCGTTTTTTCAGGGTTGGGTTTCTCGCGAAGGTTTCTTGCGGCCGCGCCCGCACTGTAGGCCTCTCAGATGGGGTCGGAGTCGATGGGGTCGGAGGTTCGCGCCGCATCGCCGATGCATCGGCGATGCGGCTGGATGTGGAGCCCGATTTGCTTCACGTCGACGTCGCTGGTGCATCGCCGACGTCGCCGGTGCATCCCCGATGCATCGCCGATGCATCGCCGATGCATCGCCGATGCGGCGCGGATGCGGCGCGATTCCGACCCCATCTACTCCGACCCCATCTGGGAGGCCCCTATCCTCGTCGTCATCATCCTTCCAGCCGCTTGGACTCAAGCACGTGTTTGCTTGATGTCTTTCAGAGCGCGCCTGCGCCCCGTCCCGCGCACGGCTCCCTGCCCTCGGCCATGATCGTCTCGGTGGAAAGCGGGTACTCGGCGCACGTTTCCGCAGGGGCAGCGTTGGAGTCGCAGCGCGCGAAAGTCAAGATCCTGGTGCTTCCAGTTCGAGGGCAAGCGGGCGCAGCGCGTCGGCTCGTGCTCGGGATGCTGGACGCGGCGCTACAGCAAGCCGACCTCCACACAGTTGTGGACCGTGGGCAGTGGGCATCGGCACTCGAACGGCACTCGGGCATCGCTTTCAGTTCCGTCGGCCGAACGCGTTTCCGAGGAGCCAAATCAGCCCCGGGCCGGCCGGGTGGCGCACACATCTGGCGAGGAGTTGGCAGCCATTGTGCGTTTTGTGCGGGCTGTGGTCATGGCGACCAGAAGACCAGAAGGGGATCGCTCAGATGCAACGCGTCTACCCTCGTTTAAGATTGGTATGTGCCACCTACATCCAGAGCGGCCGAGCATCCAGGCTTCGCGGCGCTGCAGGATCACGCCATGGAGTTGTCTCACGCTTCAGCGGCTGACAGGACGGAGGAGCTCCGGGAGATACAGACAGTCTTCCGGATGAGGTACACAGACAGCGCAGGGCGAATATTTTGGCACCTTCCATCTTCTGGTCCTGGCCTGGATGGTGTGCAATTTTTCGTACTCGAGCTGATTCAATATATCATATCGTTTTTATTGTCTGATCTTGTGTTGGGTATATTGGGGGTGATCGAGCCGCCGGACGATTTCAACCTGGCTGTGTTGATTTGCTTGCCGAAAGGGGTTGGCGCCTCGATGCCTAAGCGCGCGGAGTGCTACAAGCCGGAGAACACGCGCCCGATGTCAGTCGTGGATGCGAGCAACCGCATTCTTGCATCTACCTTCCAGAGGGCGATGGAGAAGGCAGTGGTTCATCGAATTGTTTGGTCGCAGAGGGGGTCATTCCAGGCAGGCAAAGGTTGAGAAACATTCTGGACATTGATTTCGCGGCGCAGAAGATTTCCCTGACGTCGCGTCTCGGGAGCATTCTGCCGTTCGGCTTCCGCGCGGTGTTCCCCAGCGTAGACCACGCTTTCACGTGGGAGTCGCTGGGGACTGTTGGACCCCCGCAAGAGTTCATGCGCGCGTTGGAAAGTTCCAATGTCCGGAACAAGCGCCAGATCAAAGTGGGTGGCCAGGTTTCCGACAGCATCGCCGTGGAGAACGGCGTACGGCAGGGTTGCTTATTGTCGCCGCTGCTGTTTGCGATCTGCGCTGACATCCTGCTTCGCGAGCTCTCGCGGCATATCTCTGGGCGCCAAATCGTCAGAGTTTTCTCTGACGATGCGGCAGCAGTCATCTCTGGAAATACTTCGGGCACAGGGTTGGGCCCGGTACTAGCAATATGTCTTGTGAGCTTTTCGGGGAATTCACGAAGCGCGCCCAGAGTCGGGCACAGGGGCATCTCGGACTACGTTTGGACAGCATTGTGTTCAACGCGTTCATTATTTGGGCGCTGAGTTGCACGATGCAGCTTGAAGACTTGCCCGAGGGCATGGATGAGTCGTTTTCCGGGGCGCTGCGCCGTCTAGCCTGGGGCTCTGGGAAGTGGATCAGGCCAGAGGATTTGCGCAACCTACGAGAGACAGTCGGGCTCAAGTTTGCCTTCGCGCAACCTCGCAGCGCAGCGCGGGCTGCGAGGCTGCGAGCGACTAAAACTGTCGCCCCAGATTGCAGGGATCGCAAAGAATTGAGCGTGCCGGATGAAGGAGTGCTGCAAGGCCCGCTCGGGAACTGGCACGCCAACTCTTCGTTGCCATTCTGCGCCGCGTGGAGCGACGCCGGGAGAAGGGCGGGATCAGTCACGCCCGGGCTTGGAGAGTGCCGCACGGACCTGCGGGCATTGGCTCAGCCAGCTCCCAGCTAATTGCAGCAGACTTGATCTGTCGCCACGTAGACCCGAACATTGCAACGCAGCGCTCAGAAGCTTGCCCGGTGGAAGTTTGCAGGTGGCGAGACGGCGCTGGCGGCGCGGGCCCAGGAGGCTTTCGCCGTCTTACACAGATGGTTCCCGCCCAGGGCGGCGTCGGCACACTTCCGCGCGACGTTCAATGGGCGGGTCGCCCGTCGTCGCAGGAGGCGCGCGGCGAAGGGCGAATCGGACGAACCGTCGATGCGCTCGCTCGTCTGCAACTGCGGCGACGACATCATCGGGCGCTGATCTGTCCAGCTGCGCAGGGCTTTCTGCGGCGCGACAGACTTGTCGGGGCGGGCGCGAACGCGCCGCCGCCCGCGCCTCCCCTCGTCATCCTGGGCCCAAGAACTTCTGAATACGCTGCGCGATTGATCCTGATCGACTACGGCGTGCGCCGCGTCGCTTACTACTTCCGCTTTGCTCCGGCAGCAACGGGCGAGCCGACCAGGGGACCTCGCTGGTCGAGAGGGGCGCGGAGAAACCGCGTGTCAGACGGCTCCTGCACGGTGGTCGCAGATGCGGCGTCCGGCGCGGTGTCTCACTCACGATGCTTTCGCGCCCGCTCACTGCCCTTCGCGAGGTGGCGGAGTTTTTGAGCATATGTGCGGGAAGTTGTCGGACTGGCTGGGTCAAACGGCGCCCATCATGCAGGCGTGTGCCAACGTGCCGTTTCGGTGCCTCGGGGTCCATGCGTATCCGGTAGAGTCGGGTCTCGCGTGGCTCGATGCATGCGTTGGTTTTCGGAGCGAGGGGCTTTATTCGGCGCCAGGTAACTTGTCCAGGCATGCTGCCTTTGGGATTGCGGTTGTCTCTGTGCACAATGTATATGGCGGACGCCGCAGACGCCGTTGAGGGAGAGCGCGCTGATGACGTGCATGATGCGAAACCAAAGCAAAGCCGTGCCAAAAAGGAACGTCGCAGGAGCAGCGATCTGTCGGCACGCCCTGCAGCGTGTTGTCGCAGGATGTCGCTGCCGATGCCGTCCAGCGCGACGCGCTGCGATGTGCAATTCACGCGCGCGGCTGCGGCCGGGCGTCTGGGCTTGCTCGGAACTAGAAGTGGACCCTTAGCGGTCGCCGATGGGATTTCCCACGTAACATGCGGTCTTGCGCTATCGCCCATTGGTGCAGCCTACAATGCGCCGACGCGCGCGTTCGCGTGGCGGTTTCTGTTTTGTCCGCAATAGGAAAGCCGCCGTGCTGGCCTGCGAACTGATGCTACCCTTGTCTAGCGGTTGCCGATGGGGTTTTCAAGTTGGAATGCGGTCTTTACGTTTTCGTCTATCGGCGCAGCCTACAATGTGCCGACGCGCGCGCGCGTGGCGGTCTCTGCATTGCGCGAGATGGGAAAGTCGCCATGCGCGGGCCACTGCGCTCTGGGCACCCCCCTTCGGACGCCCAGAGTGCGTTCACCAGAGCGCAGTCTGGTGTGGCGACGGGGCTGAAAGCGCACTCATGGTGAGTGCGCGCGCCGAGCGTCGGCGCTGAATGTCGGCGCCGAATGTGGCTGCCGAGCGTCGGCGCCGAGTCCCCGTGCCGAGCGTCGGCGCCGAGCGCCGGCGACGATCGTCGCAGATGCGCCGAGTGTCGGCGCCGATCATCGTTGACGCGGTGGGGTTCTAAAGACTTGCCCCCCCGCGCAAGAATCAGTCGCTGGGCGCGGAGTGCCAGGGCGGTCGCGGGGACGCCCCCGGCGGTCCGGTTTGCCCCGGCTTCTTTGCGCCGCGAATAATTATTCGTTTAATTGTCCCCCCAGATGTCTCAAACTTGTTCTTAGGGACTACATGAGAAATATTCCAGAATTACACCAGAGAAAGAAAACCCCAATCAGTGGATGACTTGAACGTTAATACCGTAGATATTGAGATCGAGTGTGAGATCGATAAAGAGATCGATAATGTAATCGATAGTGAGGACCATTGTAAGGTCGATCGTGAGACCGAGAATGAAGTCGTTTCAATGAGATCGATAGTGATATCCATCGCGAGATGGCTCATGCGATCTCTAGTAAGATCGCTTTTGAGATCGATCGTGAGATCGATTGTGATATCGATGGTGAGATCGATAGAGAAGTGGGTAATGATATCGATGGTGAGAACGATCGATAAGAAGATCGACCAGGAATCCGGGAACCCTGGAACCTCGCTGCCCTCCGAAATCAGCCCGGACTTGGGAACCCAGGAACCCGGAACCGGGAACCCGGGAACCCAGCGTGCGACCAAAATCGGCGGGACATTTTCGCCAAATTTTCAACTTCCGCGAGGACCCCTTCAGACAATAGTCTGGGGACGATGTTTCGGCTATTTTTCGACTTTTGTTAAATTTTTTTTAGCTATGTTTGCCCTCTTCAAAAACTGCCTGTAATTGGGAGGACATGCCCGACCTAAGCTTGGCTTGCTCGAAGCCTCGAAGAGAAAACGCGGGCAACAAACATAACCTTGTGGAGGTCCGCGCCGCGTTCTTGGATCGGCACGAGGCCGTCTCCCCCGCGTGCGAGGCGGGCCCGGGGGGACGTAGCCAGGGGCGGCGCCAGAGGCGCCGCTGGGTGGGGCCCAGCGCC